TTTGAGAGAGGAGCAGAGACCCATCATGAACCCAAGAGCCAGTATCAAACAGAATGGCATAAATGCATAAAAATGATAGAATTTTATATGAACAGAGTTATAAGGACTTTGACTAAAATTTCTGAAAATAACCCAGAAGGAAATGAGCAGAGAACTGGGTTTAGTTAGCTTTTGCATTGGGCTGAAGAAAATCTAATACCTGAACTTTGTGAATCCTCTCATAGTCCATTAGAGGTACACAGAGCTCTTGGGGGGAGCGAGAGAGAGAGAGAGAGAGAGGACAGAGAGTAGTCGTGTGAGTTAACCAAAGTTCCCCCGCCTGTGAGCTTTTTGTAGCTACAGTGAGCAGTGGAAGAGGAATTGTTTTCCACTGATTGCAACTTTTCATAAACCACCTAGTATGATTTGAATTTACATGTTCCTGTTTAAATTTTCAATAAACTCTATGAAGGTATTAGATACTTACACATTTTTTTGTCTCTGTAAAAAAATCTCCAAATAGTTTCAGGTGCTAATACTTCATGATGGTTGTGCTTACCTAAGGAATTCGGGCATGTTTGGTAAACTAAGTTAACCAGATTCAGTAAAACAATGACTACACCAAGAATAATTTTGACGAACTACCAATAATCATGTTTAGCAAACTAACGATGACTTAACATGTTTTTGTTAAGCCAATTCTAGCGTAACAATTGGGCCATTGGCCATTCGTAATTCATGCGTGATCCAAAATTAATCTTGGTTAGTTCTCAAGTTGTCAAATTGAATCTTAGCCATTGAATATAAAGTTTATTATCCACATGTATAATCAAATTGTGTGTTTAATCATCAATTAGACTATCAATCATTCTAGAATCTTCTCTACATATCATTAATTAAAATGATACTTTGTGGTCGTCTGTAAGCTCGTTCCTTAATTTTCAAGTCAAACTCCAAAGTAAAAATAAGAGAATAAACGCATTCAACCCTTTAGCATGAAAGAATATTACGTTTCGCATCTTATTTTGTGTGTTAAAAATTACTAATTAAACCTTAAACCATTTTAAAAAGAAGCTCTCTCCTCATTTCAACAAATCGGGATGATCCTTATAATTATCAAGACATAACATAGTGCTAAAAACATATCATCAAATTTGGTTTCATGAAGAATATGCTACACATGTTTTTTTTAATTCTTGAATATGCTATACATGTTGTTCGGTTGTTCCAAAGTATATCGTTGCTGAAAAAACAAAGCAGGTGTAGGCTAAAATTGAAGGAAGTATAGAATAAAGGAAAATGCAAGGGGCTTAAATGAAGAAAGATGAATGGACCCCTTCTCTGAGCGCCGCGTCGAGTTTTTGGCATTGAATTATTTATTTGAATTTTATTCCCGAGACCGGTCAAAGGCCGAGCGTACTTCCCCAATACCAAAATCACAAGTTAAGTTAAACCGAGACCCATACTTTGTTTGTCAGTCTGCAGTCTGCTCAGAATTCTATAAAACTTTTCCTCTCTTTTTTCTGTTGACACCCTCGTGTATGTCTTTCACTTTTCATCATTATCATCTTATGCACCCTTAATTATTTATTAATGTATATTACACACCTACCCTCATATTAATTTACACTCTAGATTTTTTTATTGTTTTAAAATGACGGCTCACCCTGGTATTGTTAGGACTTATAGTTATGAACCTACTCTCTAATCTAGTTTTGATGGTTAACAAACAATTTATAACTGTATTTTTTAGTATTTGTGTTTTGTATATCATGTATCCAGGTTGAAATAAATGAAGCCAACGCAATTCTAGTCAAAAATTCAAAACCAAGCTTCATGCACATCAACTTGGGTAAAATAGTTTTTAGGACTTACACTTTGCGTGTTATGCTTAGAGCTCAATTTTATACACACAAGAATTTCTCATAATATTAGTATTTTTGAGAAAATTGAGTTTGTGATTTATGACTTAATAACAAAGTTTTATATCTTTTATAAAGTCTCTTAAATCATTCTAAAAGATTCCAAAACTCAATTTGAATCATTTTGTCAAAATCAAGTGTTTAAACGAACCCATATTTTTGAGATTTTGCAAAATGATGAGTTTTCACAAACGGGGAATGATATTTCAATTTTTTTCTAACATGTTTATATTCATGCATATAAACATTTCCCCAAGTTTTATAATTTTTGGAATTTATTTGCTATTTTTAAAAGCTCTTTGAAAATCAGAATTACTATTCAAAACTGGGATGTGCATGTTTTTCAGTCGACTGATATTGTTCATCAGTCGACCGATGAAGTGCTTTGCAATTGCTGAAAAGTTTCTGCTCAGTCGACCGACTTTTATCAAATGACTGAACAATGTTTTCAGTCGACCGATATTATGCATCAGTCGACTGAGGAACTGCTCTGCAATTGCTAAAAAGTTTCTGCTCAGTCGACCGATCTCAATCAGTCGACTGAACAGCGTTTTCAGTCGACCGATAGTTTGCATCAGTCGATCGATAGTTTCCCAGAATAAGCCAACGACCAGCTCATCAGTCGACTGAACAGTACATCAGTTGGCCGACGATATTGTAACGGCTAGTTCTAGATTTTTAGGGTTTTTGTTTTTTGGGGGTTTTTCTCTGGTTTTGTGCTTTGTTTTAAGAACCTATATATACCCCTCCATACTCAACACTTAGAATTAACTAAGAAGAGTTTTCAAACAAGTTTGCAAGTTTGTTTAAGAGTTTTTAAAGAAAATTAAGTGTGTCGTTTATGTGAAGAGAGCTTTGTTTGGGTAGAAAATTGGTCTCTTCATTGATGTACTCATTACAACTCCAGTCGTTACAATGAAAATACAAAAAGATAGTCTTTTTATAAGACTTTTACACAATAAAAATATAATTCTCGTCAAACAGCACAGAGATCGTTTATCGGTCTTCTGCTTGCGTGAGATCTTGGCCTGTAACGGGGACATTGATATCCGTGGACCACCAAACGATCAGATCAGATCCGGAGCTTCGTCGATTCGTGAAGGAATCAAGAAGCCGAAGCGCTTATCTCGGCAACAGCGAGATAATTGCTCTTCTTAAGATCACCGTAACGGGGTAATCTTAAGGGACGAACCAGGCTGCAGATCTGACGAACTCCTCTTTTTTATGCCGAATAATCCGTTGAAGTCTTCTCCTCCTCTCTGAAATTCGTGGCTCTTCAGTCCTTAATTCGGCAGGGCTTCGTCGACGCTCGAGAATTCCAGGTCTTCAAAAAATAAAGGCCCCAGGGCTGTATTTATAGGCTTAAGGACACCTGTTTTCGGATAAGAACGGTTGATTCCCTCTTATCCTCAGTTGTAACCATTTAACCACGTTCTTAGATAGATTCAGATTAGTTGGAATAAATCCAGGTGGTTAACGTCTAAAAATGGTTCAAAACAGCCAAAAACAGCATTCTGGAGGTTGCGGACACTTATGAGTGTAGCTCTAAAAAAATAAAGGCCCTGGGGCTATATTTATAGGCTTCAGGAGCTATGTGTTTGGATAAGAATGGCCGATTCCCTCTTATCTTCAGTTGAAAACCACTTAACCACATTATCAGATCAGTTGGAGCAAATCCAGGCGGTTAACGATCGAAAAACCGCCGAAAACAACCAAAATCAACGTTTTTTGTATTGGAGACACTTCTGATGTATTGGAGACACTTCTGAGTGTCTTGGAGACACTTCTGAGTGTCTTGGCCAAGCCAAGACACTTGAGAGTGTCTCGGCTTAGCCAAGACACTTGAGAGTGTCTCGGCTTAGCCAAGACACTTGAGAGTGTCTCGGCCAAGCCGAGACACTTATAAGTGTCTTGGCCAAGCCAAGACACCACGGGGTGTCTCAGTTTGGCTTTTTCCGGTTTTGGTTCGTCGAGTTTGTTTCCACCGTAAATTCGTTGTCCGGACCCGGAATTACGTGGTTCAATATGCATTGGAAAGCCGACGAGAAGATCAACAGGATCCCATGATTGAATTACATGCGGAGTAAATGGGACATAAGGGGTGCTCCACCTTTCGTAAATGACGCGGGGCTCCCGATCAGGTCTTATTCCCGTTATTCCGAAGTTTCGTTGCTTCGTATGGTTCGTCGACTCACTTCATGTGTTCGTCATCGTCAAATGAGCTCCTGTGACTCGGATAGCTACATTTATTGTCTTCTCTCTATCTCGAACCGTGTACGGGGATCTATAGGCAATTTTGGACGCCTACAAGCTTCACAAGAGGATAAGACCATTTCAGTTTTTGAGCTTCAATTTTCATATCTCTATCTCTCTTATTTTCATAGAAGTTTTACTAAACTCAATATATAGCAATTTATATTTTGATTATTATTTATATAAGATATATTTTTAATTAAGTTTATATTTTATTTTACTTATTGATTGCACACACAATCTATTGAGGTTTTAGTATTTCACATTAAGTATAATTTGGGTTATGGTGAGTGATTCATTGAGTGTGAGCTTAATTTCGTTCTCATTCTTGTTTAGAGAACAAATCCTTTATATTTGAGCCTTATTGTTGAGAGAACACATTGTAATACACAAGGACACTTAGAGGAGTGGTTGGTGAGAGACGAGGTCATTTCTGAGAGGAGTGGCATTGGTAGTTGTAGGCTGTCTAAAAATTATTACAGATAGCTGATCCTCATCAAACACCGATGATGGAAGTTACAATTTGACGGCTTTCAGAAGGCTACAATTTAAAAAGTTTTACGTAGATCGATAAAGGTTATAATCTGACGACCTTCACAACAACCGATAAAAGTTCTAATTTAACAGCCTTCATAATCAACATCAGGAGTTACAATCTGATGACTCTCATATTTTTAAAGAGCCAAGAAGAAGATTATAATATAACGGTCTTTGCAACGCTCTAGCAAAAGAGACTACAAATTAACGGTCTCTTCAAATCAAGACACAGAGCTTACCTCTACGTCCCAGATTCAAAATGCAGAGGTCATGCACGTGTTTCAAGCTCAAAATGCAGGGTTCATCCCCCAACGTTCCGCAGAGGTCATGTCCGCGTTTCAAATTCAAAACGTAGGGTTCATCCCCAGCGTTCAAGTCCAAACGCAGAGTTCGTGGACTCAAAACGTAGAGTTCATCTCTGCGTGCCTGTGACAAAACGCAGAGTTCGTGGACTCAAAATGCAGAGC